AACCTAACTGGTTTCCTTTATAATCCTATATATTTTATTTTATTCATTTAAAAACATTATTCTAAGAAGGGGTCCTTGGGCATCACCAGACTATTAAAAGGATACATGACACAAAATAGGTTAAGAACTCTTGTTACTAGACCCACTGATGTTAGGTCAAGAAAAGCAAAATGGAGGCACCCTGGTGGACAAGGGTATCAAACTACAAACATGCTCTGCAAAGACAGGTATGCTAGATTGCTTGCCCCTACTCTTCCCTACCAAAGAACAAGAATAGCTTATCAACATCTATCAGGAACCGAAGAGGATTGTTGACTGCAGAAAGGCATTGGTTAGAAGTTAATGAAAATCACAGGGAGATAAAGGGACAGGCCAAGACTCCATACTAAAGATATGTAATACTATCTGCTAAAAACTGAAAGAGACAAGGGCTTGAAAGTCAAGCAATGTTATTAAAAAAAAGAAGAACATTGTTAAGGACACTGAAAGGTATAATCAATTAACAGGCATCTATTATTATGTGCCAGGCACTGTTCTAGGCTCTGGAGAGTCAAAGAATAAAACAACTCCTACTCAGAAGGAGCTTCCAAAACAGCTAGCTCTAGATGTAGCTAGGTGAGCTGCAGAGACAGAGAGGCTATAGTCACTGCCATCGAGGTGCAATGCCTAAAGGCCCCTTAGGAAGCCCTACCTAGGGAATGCTTTAACAGTTGGAGACTAGATAGGCCTGTGAAGTAAGAGCTGCATAATGGTGGGTACCATGATTTCCTATGGACTCTGTCTGATAGAGCCATATCTGTATGTCAGAGTCACTAAATAAACCTGTTCCTATTTTGAGTTTGCGTACCTTTATGTTTGCTAGTGGCAGGAATCTGCATGGAACCAATAAGCTTGAGAAGTTCATCCAAAGTATGCCCTACACCTTCAGGTCAGGAGGAAGCCTCTAACATAGGAATTATGATGAATTATAATCCCATTCTTCTGTCTTTCTTCTATTTCTCTTTGCATTTGGGGAATAGAATCATAGCATTTTAAAACTAGAAGAGACTTTCAGAGATTACCTAGTACAAATTAAAATGAAACATCTCATTAATACTTCTAACATTGAGTTGACAGAGTAGATTAAAAGAAATTCCAATTAGTTGGTATTGCTGTTATCTGAAGTTTTAATGAAGGTTCCACCTCAGGGCTATATGCATACAAACCCCTCAATTTACAGGTGAGAAAACTGAGGCCCAGAGAGGTTATGGGAATTGCCCATGGTCACATAGGTAGTAATTATCAGAGGTGGGCTTTGAATCCAGATCCTTTGATTCCAGAATCAGTCCTCTTTGTACTGTATTACATTTACAATACTGTGAGAATGAAAGAATTTCCCATAATTTTTTTTATTGTGAATTTCTATTATGCCTACTGTGGAGGGTGCAGTGGAAAAAGCAATGAACTTGTAGTCACAGGATTTGGGTTCAAATCCTGCTTCTCTGTGACTCTGGGCAAATCATTTAAGTTCACTGCCCTTCAGTTCCCATTTTTATAAAATGGGCACAGGAAATGAGCAGGTAGGTGGCACAGTGGTCAGAGCTCCGGCCTTGGAGTCAGAAGGACCTGAGTTCAAATCCGGCCTCAGACACTTGACATTTACTAGCTTTGTGACCTGAGTAAGTCACTTAAACATGACTGTCTGTCTGTGTGTGTGTGTCTCTCTCTCTCACACACACACAAAAAGAAACTAATGCCTCTTTTCATTTTAGATCTGTAATTTAATGATCTTCTCCTGAGGTTCTTTTACTGCCAAATATAAGCTGGATCTCAGAAATACTCTCAGACCCTAGTCTAAGTACTAGCCTGAGATCAATGCTCAGATCATTTGCCAATTCTTAACAGTAGCAGTTCAGGAACTCTGAACTCCCAAATCCCTTCAGCAACAAACTGATACACAAAGACAAGGAGACACTTGCAAAGGAATTCCCAATCTCCTCAATGACACAGAAGACCCATTTCCTCCAAAACCCCTTCCCCCCCCCCCCCCCCACACACACCCAAGTATCAGGCAGAAACAGAATTCACAATATAGGACAATGGTAGCAAACACTGCAAGGGCAAAGTTACACAGTGGGATGACTCCAAACTCTTAGTTCCTAAAATGCTTTCTCCTTATTTGCCTCCAGGGTGTAGGTGCCTAGATACCTTCCAGCAAGTTAGAGAGTGGTTAAGTTTTTATAGCCGGCCCAGAAAGAAATAAGGAGCCTAGGATTTCGTGTTAAGGTTCATCAGCCAATTCTACACAGGGTAGGTAGATCTTGTTAAATGTAACTTCAGGAATGGGATGGACATTAATGGCTATTCCCAAGCTCCATGATTGTTACTGGACCAATGGGTTGGTGGTTCTATGACTACAGAATGTTCTCTGGCCATCTGCCATCCCTAGAACATCTTCCCTCCTCTGCTCCAACTTTTAACTTCCCTGGCCTCCTGTAAGTTCCAACTAAATTCCCACCTTGTACAGGAAGCCTTTCCCAACCCCTTTTAATTCCAGTGCTTTCCTTCTTTTTATTACTTCCTATTTATATTCTATATAGCTTGCTTTGGTTATATTTGTTTCATGGTGTCTCCACCATTAGATTGTAAGCTCTGACTCTTTTGCCTCTTTTTGTATCTCCAGCTCTTAGCATACTGCCTAGCAAATAGGAGCTTAATAGATGTTTACTGAATGCATGAAAATTGAATAAATATGAAGAATCATGAATTGACTCTACAATTATCAATAACATGACATATCAACACCAACAAAATCATGCTGATTCACCTGTGTCTTTGATGCAGACCATAAACCATTTACATGCCTCTAAACTCCTCAGGATGTTTAGCATTTACTATGTGCCAGGCATGGCCAAGCACAACAAACAAACAAAACCCCATCACCCTCATGAACCTTACATTTAAGAAAATGCAGGGAGTATGCAGAGGGAATATGGACAAAGTAATTTTGGGAGAGGCACAAGGATGCAGTGAAGAGAAGAGGTTGCAACTGAGTCAAACTAAAGTAGCTAGATTCTTAAGAAGAGATAAAGAGGAAGTGAATTCTCGGGAAGGAGACAAGGGATAAAATGTTACACTTGGGGAAAAGTAAGTAGGCTAACTTGACTAGAAAGTAGAGTACAGGAAGAGGAGTCATATATAATAAGCCTGGATAGGTAGGCTGGAGTCACACTGTGAAGGGCTTTAAATGCAAATTAGAGAGATTTGTATTTTATTCCATAGAATAAGGAGCCACTAGAACTTTTTGATCAGAAGAATAACATAGTTAGACTTGAAGAGTAGGAATATCATTTTGGAAACTGTGTGGAAGATGTATTGAAGTACAGAAAAAATTTCAGCAGGGAAACTAATAGCAAGAATGAACAATAAAAGATGGATAGGAGTAGTGTTGGACTAGTATCCACCAAATATTAAAAAGCCCAGAAGCTACAGGATTTACAGAAAAAAATCCTACAAGATCAGGAACAGAGGGATTGTAATCTGTACCATTAAAGGGAGTCCCCATATGGATAAGAAACAAAAGTGCTATTAAAAACAGTTTTTATTTCTATTGATAAATTCCAGCTGGTGAAACCGTGGATAGAGCACTAGGCCTGGAATCAGGAAGATCTGAGTTTAAATCTGGCCTCATATACTTCCCAGCTGTGTGACCCTGAACAGGTCACTTGACCTCTGATTGCCTCAGTTTCCTCAAAAGTAAAATGGGAATAATAATAGTGTCTAACCTATCAGGACATTGTAAGGATCAAATGAGATAATATTTATAAAAGTGTTTACTTAGCATAGTGTCTGGCTTATATATATATATATATATATATATATAGATATAGATATACACACACACACACGTAGTACATGTCTATGGTGTGTATCAAATACACACACACATATGTGGTACATGTCTATGGTGTGTATCAAATACACGGGTAAACTAGCATCACTGCTTTGGTGTTAATATGATGTCATGTTACAGGTAAGTATAGGGTCAACTCATGATTCTTTATAGTTCCAGAACCAGCCCACTAGCCCAGGAACAACTATGGAGCTTGAGAATAGCCTTTATGTCCATCCCATTCTTGGAGTTATAGTAAAGGAGATGCATCCCGAAATCCATCCTCACTTCATTGAATTGACCACTCTGAATCTTAATATGAAATTCTAGGCTCCCTAGTGTTTTCTGAACTGGCTATAAAAACTTACTCCTTTTTCTTCCCTTCCCATTCTAATCAAACACTGGAAGTGTACTGGAAGTACAAATAGATGGAGAGGAAGCAATCTGTGGTATTCTTATTCTAATCAAATAAGATAACGTGTGTAAACTACAATACTTTGAAGGTTTTATAAATGTGAGCTATCAAAGCCATTTCTAAGTAACAAAAGACAGGACAAAGGAATTATGGATATGCTCCATAAGCCTCAGGGGAAAATTCAGTAGCAGATAACAAAAGGTACAGTCAGCCTATTATTGCCTTTCTAACACTTACCCTTTGTCCACTTCTTCATTCAACAATCTGGATTAGATCCTGAGTGAGATACACGGATAAAACACAGTCCCTGCACTCCATAAATTATTCCTACTAAGGCAAGACTGCATGAGAGGTGAGCACAGGAGGTAATGCCAGCTGGCTTCTTGTTAGGAAGAGAAATTCAAAGGACAAAATGCAAACTCTGCCTATAGGACTAGGAAAGTCTTAGAAAATAGTATTCTGATCTATCTGGTTCTGGAATATATGTGAACAAGTAGCATGTTTTTATACCTGCTTTAAAATATGAGATTAACTTTTGTCTAAAATTAAGATAAAACTGTCTGGAAATATTACACTAGGTCATCAGAACGAAATGCTTTTGCAAAACAGTAGACAGTTTTGTAGCAAAGGTATTCTATAAAGAGATTTAACATATCTTATACTTTGAAAAGAAAAAAATGCATCCTTCTGAAATCTGCTTTAAGCACTACTTACCTTTCAACCCACAGGACTGAAACAAGCTTTACACCATATTTCTGTGCTTTGTCCCAAGTGCTCTGATACCCTTCCTTAAATATAACATGAGTTACATTTCTGTTAAAAGTTTTTGAAACCTGTAGAATCAAAATGAAAGAGAATGTGCAAATTGTTACTAATTAATAGCTAAAGTCATGAATTTATCAGACCAAAAAAAATATCCCACTCATTCTTTTAAAGTCATACAGAAAAGTAGGTCAGCTTAGAAAGATACATGAGAAAAAAAAATAGATCAATTTAACATACTAGATAAACAATCAAAAAATAGGAGACCAGCATTTGATAAATTCAAGAACATAAATCATAAAAGCAGTTTAGTAAAATTAGCATAGACCAATATATTGCACCATATACCACACTAACTCACATTGGATATATGACCTGAATATAAAAAGTCCATTAAAAAGACAGAAGAGAATGAGATCAGGAATCTTCAACAAAGTATTGCTAAAGGGAGATTTTTTTTTCCATTTAAAATTTTACATTTCCATTGATATCTTTAGTTTTTACCTGAACTTAAATTTCTGAATATAATCTTTATCCCTCCCCTCCTCATGAAGTCATAGCTTGTAACCAAAAATAATAATAAAACAAAATTTTTAAAAAGAGGGAAAACAGCAGTTAATTAAAACTAAGCAATGTATCAACCAAGTCTGACAGTATACAAAATGTTCCAGATCCTTAAGTCCTCCACCAGAAGTCTGACCACTTGGAGGTTATATTGTAGCAGTTCTTTTCTGCATGGATTGACTAGAGTGCCACAATAGTCTCTTCCAACTTTGAATTTTGTGGTCTGTGATCACAACAAATTAGAGGAAGGTGCATTTTTTTTTTCATTTCTTCCTAGGGTACAATCCTGGTTATTTTAAGTATACTATGTTAAGTTCAGGTTTGTTTGTTCTTCCCATCTGTGTTGTCATAGTCATTGTACATACTATTTTCATGGTTCTGTTCGCTCTAACAATTCACATAAATGTCTTCCAATGTTTCTATGCATATTTTAAGTTCATCATTTCTTATGGCACAGTATCACAAAATGAAAAGGAATGATGAAAAGGATGGACTATGAACTATTCCACTAAACCTATTTCTATTAAGTGTCCCACCATCTTTCCAATCCCTTGAGTTCACAACCTCAGTACTATTCCTAACTCGTCAGTCTTGGGGGGGTGGAGAACCTTTGGCCTCAAAGCCATAAGTGGCCCTTAACTTTAGCCCTTTGACTGAATCCAACCTTCACAGAACAAATCCCCTTAACAAAAGGATTTGTTCTGTAAAATTTGGACTCAATCAAAAGGTAGCACCCAAGGACCTAGAAGGCCACTGGTTCCCCACCCCTGGAAACCATGCCTGCCTCACTTTCTGCACTAGGTCTTTCTTGGTCTTGCAGATGATAATGTCTCCCTCCCCTCACCCATCTTACCTTGTATCTGTTATGTGTTTTGTACATATGTGCATGTCATTCCCCTCTCTACTCTTCTGAAAATGGAAAGTCCTATGGGGCTGAGAATGTTGTCTTTTTTGTCTTTGTATTCTTATATCCTTTATCTAAGCATAGTACTTGGTACATTTTAGGCAGCTAATAAATATTTCATAATTGACTGATTAATTGAAATAACAGATCCATTAAAATACTTGCTACAGTAAAATTCCACAGCAATTAATGAATCAAGATAATTCCTTTGGAGTTGCTATAATAAAATCCCTGGTTTAACAGTAGAATGACCATGCCTTGGCATCCCAATCTCAGCTCTGCTACTTATATCTGGGTGTTTCTGAGGAAGCTGCTTCCCCTCTCTGGGCTTTAACATTTCATAATGAGGGGGATGGATTCAAATACCTGCAAATTCCGTGCCAGCTCTTAATCTATGATCCTATAATCTATGCAATACTTAGTCACCCTACCATGTGGTCTTTTCTGTGACCTGTGGTCACTAGTAATTTCCAAAGCAGAAAAAAAAAAGTACTTTCATTAGAGATCAAAGAAGGGTCAGATGCACATTGAGAATAAAAGTAATTAATTTTACTTACTTTTGCTCCCATACCCAGCAGTTGATTCACAAATGTTTTTGAATAATTTTCTACTCCACTGGATGACCATACTTCAACATATGCAACAACATCTGAAAAGGAAATACACTAACATGAATTGTACCATACTTGCATAATACCCTTTCCGCAAGTCAGGGAGTCCTTTTTCTGACCAGGAAGCTTACCTTTGCTTTTTAAATGTGTTCACCAGGTGTGTCAATGGTAAGCCCCGGCCCAGTAAAGCTAAAGTAATGTCATATTAACTGAGCAGAATGTTGATTAGCATAATAGCCAATCCCACTTTCCAAATGATCTTACATAATACTACTCTGCAGCTAAGTGGTACAGTGGAAAGAATGTTGGGTCTAGAGTCAGAATCTTCCCGAGTTTAAATCTGGCCTCAGACATTTTCCCTCTGTGAGACCCTGCGCAAGTTACTGAACCCTGTTTGCCTCAGTTTCCTTATCTGTAACATGAGCTAAAAAAGGAAATGGCAAACCACTCCAGTATCTTTGCCAAGAAATGTGACCCAAATGGGGTTACAAAGAGTTAGACATGACTGGGAAAAAAAACAAAACTAAACAAAACTGAACAACAATACTAGCCAGAATATATTTAATGAAGGAATCCAGTTATTGGAAGGTTGATTATCTAATTTGGAGTATTTAGTCCTTTTATCTTTCCCCAGGTCTTATCTTTTTGGTGCTACACTGCTTGCTAACACATTCACCAGAGAACAGAGAGAAAACTTGGTGTGCAAGTCATTCTTTTGCTGCTCAACAAGAGTTATAAGAAAAGATTTATTAGTAAGAAATTGGCATTGCTTTAGAAAGTCTTATTTTAGTATTCATTGGATTACTTGACCCAAATATGCACAGACCATGTGCACGTACTGAGAAAGGAAGACTTTTAGAAACCTTTTCTTCTGTGTAATCTTCTGCACATCATAGTATTTTTAATTTTTACAGAAAAGTTTAAATGGAAACAAAACTCAACCCTTGTTTTGAATCCACCTCCAGAAAGATAAAACTATCTGATACACATATTGCTTTTAAATTTCACAAGGGACTTCACGTATTAATCCCATTTTACAGATGAGGACACCAAGACTCAAAGAGATTACTATTTATCCTTTATTCTCATCAGGAAGGTGAGGCCATGACTTGCAAATGAATTGGATTTAAGTGTGGGTGAGCTGTACAAAATCACCAGCCTCACTTTCACCTATGGAGCTATCTGGGTCCAATGGCCAGAACTGGAGGTGGCCCAGAATGCAGTGGGGGACCTTGGTCTTTTCAAGCTAAGGTCTTTGGCAGGTTTCAGTTTGACTAAGGCAGTGCCCATTTAGTGATTAAAGCTTAATTAGAAATGAGGCAAAGAATGGCCTCTTAAAAAAAAATAGATATGGAAGGGGAATTCCTTCAGGGTTTCTGACCAAAACAGAAACAATTGTTATTTACATTCATTCTGAGCCAATCAAGGCCCAAACAATGACCAAGTCTGGCTTGGCCTGGGACCTACTGTTGTCCAATCAAGGAGAGCCAGAGTGATTTGGGGTTAAGACTGGTCTTTAAGAGAAAGAAGAAAAAGAAAAGAAAAGCTTCAGAGATTAAAATTTATATTCCCTTTGGCCAGAGCATCCTCAGGTAAGGGTGTTACATAAGCTATTAAGTAGTAAAAAAAAAAAAAAAAAGTGAATCTCACAGAGGTCTTCCATAAAATTATGATCAACAACTATTTAGTGAGTCCCTATTATGTGCCAGGCACAGGTCTTCTAACTCCAAGTCTAACATTTTATCCACTAAACCACACTAAGCCCTAAAAATAACGGTAAACAAAAAGGTAAACAAAAACAAAAAGGTAAAACAAAAAGTAGTTTCTCTTAGGCATCCAGAAGATCCTTATACTTCCCCTTGTTTTCCTACTTTGTGGTCCCATCCCAGAAGTGCTCATACTATACTCTTTTTGTTATATCAGGGTCCTATTGTCACAGTGACTAGTTTAGTAGACAATTCCATTACCAAGAAGCCTCACCAGAGTCAGGAGAACCAAGGGTAAGTTAGTCTTTGTTGTTCAGTTGTGTCTGACTTCACACCGTTATTCTCCATGGGGTTTTCTTGGCAAAGAAACTGGAATGGTTTGAAGAAAAACTTCTCCAGTAGATTTAGGCTAAAAGAAGTTAAATGACCTGCCCAGGGTCACAAAGCTAGAAAGTATCTGAGGCCCTATTTGAACTCTGATCTTCCTGCCTTCAGGCTTTATCCACTTTGCCACCTAGCTGCCTCTGAAATTGAGATTAATGGATTCTCTTTTGCATTTTCATTTTCAAAGCTCCATTGAATCCTACAAATACAGAGAAACATTCAAAGGATTCTTTTATGTCAAGTACTCAAAGCAAATCTACATCACATAGTTAAGTGGCCAAGCAATGACTAGAATCTAGGTCCCCTGACTCCAGATTCTGTGTACTTTCCACTATGCTATAGTGCCCCGTTGCTACAACATAATGAAAAGAGTACCATACCTGGAAAACAGAAGATCTGGGTCAATAATTACTTTCTGAAACTTACTAGAATTCAGAAACTGTGAAAAAGTAGGCAATGCATCTCACCTGCCTTAGTTTACTCATCTGTAAAACAGGAATAGTTATGTTCAAAGAATCACAGAGCTGGCCTAATTACCAAGTTGTTGTGAGGAAAGCCTTTTAAATTGTAAAGTAATACAGATGATATACAAAAGGGGAAAGCCCTAGATTTTTAAAGCAGAATCTAGTGATGTAAGGTGGGGTGGGGTAAATGGGGTAGGACAAATGAAACAGAACCTTTGAAAGTTTTAGTGTTTGGGGAAGAGAGAGAGGAAGGGAGAGAGCTCATATAATGGAAACAATTATTGTATGCTGCTAGCTACTATGTCACTTTGGGCTTTGGTCCCTCCCTTCCTTCCTTTCCCCTGCCTGGGATTCAGTTCAACTAGTTGATACTATCTTTCAGTATTAATCTTATGAAACTATCCATCCACCTAGCGTGTCTTTGCCTGAGAATGATGGAGGGGAGGGAGGGGAACAGGACTAGAGGTTAGTATCTCAATCAACACTTAATGTGTTTACTATGTGGGGGAAGTCACATAAAGAAAGGCAAAAACAGTTACTGTCCTCAAGGAGTTTACATTCTAATGAATGTAAACTCTCTCTCTCTAAGAGAGAGAGAGAGAGAGAGAGAGAGAGAGAACACAAGAAAGCTCAGAATGGTAGGATGGAGACAGGTTGTGAAGTGTTTTAAATGCTCAACAGAAAACTTTACATTTGTCGGTGCAGGAATTGGGGATGGTGCCACTATGTATGGCACAGGCCAGATATATGGTTTCCGAAAATAACTTTGACAGAGAACTGAAGGATTTGCTGGGGTGGGGGAAAAGAGGCTTGAGGCAAGGGGATCAAAAGACTAGGATAACAGGTAGGTAATGAGAGCCTGAACTAGAGTGAAGGCTATGTAAGTGAAGAGAAAGGGATTTTAGAAGGTAGATATAACAAGATTTGACAAACCTTGTTCTGTCTTTGGACATGTGGAGTGAGACTGAAGAATTAAGGATGAGTCTAAGATTGTAAACCTGGATAACTACAAGGATAGTGGTACCCTCACGAGAAATACAGACATTTGGGAAAGGTTTGGGCTTTGTGGAAAAGATGAGCTCTATTTTAGATAAGTTGAGTCTATGATGCCTGTGAGAGAGATCATTCAGTTACTGTCCTCAAGGAGCTTACATTCTAATAGGGAAGACAATATGTAAATGTACACACACACACACACACACACTAGAGAGATGTATTTATTTAAGGTTAGGGCAGACACACCTATGTTTGTAGGTAGCAGAGAAGAAGCCAATTGATACAGAGAGTTTGAAAATTAAAGAGACTGTGGCAATGATAGTGGAGACAATCAGGTGGAAAAGGCAGCAGGGGATGGAGTCAAGAGTGCAGGTAGAGGTGCTCTCCTTGGCAAGGAGAAGGACCACTTCTTCATTTGAGACTGGAATAAACAAAGATTGTTGGGAAGATGTTGGAAGGATGTGAGAAGAAAACAGCTTCAGCTCTTGGCACTTCAGATAACTGCCACTGGTAGCCTTGGCTCCTCAAAACCTTCAACCAAGTAGTCCTCTGATTTAGTAACTCTTTAGGAACAGTCTCCTCATTGCCATCAGGTCTGACAACCTCAGTTTTCTTGATCCTTCAGCCTCAATTCATCCAACCCCTTTAGTTGCCTAATTCTTCAGCTCCTGCTTGTCTACTCAGTCCCATCAGCAGCTTCACTTCTCCCTCCCAGTCCCAGAATTATAGATTTGAAGCTGGAAGATCCCTTCTTGCTACCTGTATAACCCCACATAAATAACTTACCCTTTCTGAGACTCAGTTTCCTGATCTGTAAAATGAGGGGGTTGGAGTAGATTGCCTCTAAGGTTCTTTCCAGCTCTTTATATCTATGATCTTTAGATCCTATGACTGAGAAGTTTTAGGATTAAGAGGACTGAGGGGGCATCACCATCCTACTTAGGCACCCAAATTTGAAACTTCAGAATCATTTTCAACTCTTTCTTGTCCCCCTATATTCAATTAGCTGCCAAATAGTGTTTATTCTAGCTCCACACCTCTTGCTTTAGTGTTACTGTCTCCATGTACACAGCCAAAAGCCTGAAAAAAGATCTCCTTATTTGGTCTCCCTTCATCCAATTTCTCCCGTCTCCAATCTATTATCTTCTACACAGCTACCAAATTTATATTCCTAAAGCATAAGTCTTATCTTGTCACCTCCCAAGCCCCAGTTCCAGAAACTTCAATGACTCTCTCTTGTCTCTAGAAAAAAAAAATAAAAAAAACAAACACAAACTCCTCTATAAAGCATTTAAAGCCCTTCACAATCTGCTTCCAACCTATTTTTCTAAACTGACTTCACATTACTCCCCCTCACTCTACACTTCTAACCAAATTGACCTAATGTACCTGCTGCTCTCCTTACAGGACATTCCAGCTTTGGATCTCTGCCTTTACACACCCGAACCCCTACGCTTAGAAAGTTCCCTTCTGCCTCTAGCAATTTCAAGTTCAGGTGCCAGCTCCTAGAGGAGGCCTTTCCTTACTCCTAGTTATTAATGCTTTCATGCTGGAAAATTACTTTGTATAAAGTTTTTATTTACTTGTAAGTATACGGCTGTTTCCCAATAAAATATAAACACAGCAGGTGCTTAACAAATGCTTACTATCAGAGATTAAGTGCTATAAGATCTATTTATGCCAATTTCCTCAAAGAAGAGAAACAGAGACCGGAAGCGGTTTAGGGACTTCTCCCCAGAAAGTATGAATTGGAACCCAAGTCCTCTAACTGCAAACGCTCCAGCATTCTTTGTACTCGGAGGGGCTTTTGGAATGGAATGGAGGAGCCTGGAAGCAGGGAGAGGGAAGGGGGCGGGGGTGTGAGAAACTGAAGGGGTTAATTTCAGCCTACTCCAGTTTCTACACCGGCGCACTGTGCTGATCCATCCCCTTCACCCCAGGACCACAGATCTGGGGCTGGAAGGGCCTTCAGGAGTCATCCAGTCCAACCCCTCATTTTACAGATGAGGAAACTGAGGCCCGGAGAAGTTTAGTGTCTTGGACACGGTCACGACCTGCGTCAGAAGGGACAATCTCTTCTGTCTTCACGTTCCTTTCACGGGACCCTTAACCTTCCCTCCCTAAAGCTCCCCCCAAACCCCCTCCTCTCTCCCTGTCCTCCCCCGACCTCTTTACACCCGCCCCCTGCCCCCCGCCCCCAGTCTGGACCGGCGACCTGACCGCTGGAAGGCTATCCAGGAAGGATCGGGGGAGACAGGACCGGATGAGGAGAGGTGAGGGAGGGTCTAGCCCGTGCTCTCTCTACCTTTCAGGATGGGCTCGCCCCCGGGTCGTGGGAAACCCGCAGGACCCGAAGCAGCCATAACGCAGCCCGGAGCTGCCCACGCTTCCTACTCCCTGGCCCGAGGCCCCTCCAGATGGAGAATACTGCGCGTGCGCCGAGAGAAACTCCTAAAGCCCTTCCTGATTTGTAGCTGCAAAAAGAAATCCACTTTTCCGTGTTTTCATGGCGACCCAGGCAGGAGCCCGTGAAGCGTGGAGACGGGCTGGGCGCGGGGCAGGGCCCTTTGTCGGCCGCTTTTAGTAAGAAGCTTAAGGACCGCCCCTTCCACCCCCACCCCCAGGTCCCGGAGGCCGGAAGAGCATTTTCTCCAACCCCTATCTTCCCCGGTCAATGTCTAAATTTTTTTTAAAGCCCCAGAACGCTCATTTATTCTACTCCCAGCTCTCAATTGCATTACACTTTAAAGCTTAGAAAACGCTTTCCACACAACCTTTCTTAGAGGTGGATTGTTATGATGATGCCCCTATTATACTTAAGGAACGACGGAAGTGACAAGCCTGCTGTACCTTTTAAGGTACAAAAACCGTTTCGGCCAAGATCTCCTAGCCGTGCCATCCCTCCCGTCGCACTGCAGGAACCAAAACCCGGAGTGGAGCAACTGTGGCTTCCGGCCTTGAAACCGACAAGCTGGGCCAGAGCAAGAAGTTTCGGCTTGATTCTGGGCTTCCCTAATTCAAACCTCCCGCGCGATCCAGCTCCGCCCCTACTCTCGGGCTCTACATTGGTTGTCTGCATATTAGGCGGATCCACCCAAGTTCCTAACAGCTGATCCCTAAGCACTTAAGGTTTACCTAAATGATCAAGTGCTCGAGCCGTTGATTCCACAGATCTATGGTCTTTAAGTATTGTCCGGTCCCAGCTCGCATCTAGCCTCGTTTCCTGCAGGCCGCCACTCCCTGTTGCAGGTCGCAACAAAGTTGCGTGTGCAAACTGACGGGAAGAATCAGGCGAAAAATACGGCTCCGCGAATTCTTAGTGCAGCCCCTACAGAAGGGAGAGAATGAGGCACAGAGAAGGAAGGGGATTTACCCAAGGCTATTCAAAGACGGGGAAGGGCGGGAAGAATTCTGATCTTAGCAGCACTGGATCTGGACTCGGGGGCCTGGGTGCAAATTCTGACTCTCCTGCTTATCCTGTGACTTACGGCAAGTCTATGAACCCTTCTGAACTTCAGTTTCTTCATCTGCAAAATTAAGTCATTAGAGGACCCCTGCCCTCCCTTCCAGCGCTAAATTAATGGTCTATGCTTTTACCACCCCAGCCGGCCTGGTCTTGAGAGATCTCATTGTAAGCATGATGGAGTAGAGACAGAGGCCTGTTACAGAACGAAACAACTATGCATTTAAAGTTACACTTCCAATGTTAAACTGCACTATGTGTTATGGTCGGAAAGGTCTGAGTTCCTTAACTGAAGTAAATAGGGCACAAACCCGGAAAAAAGCAAAACAAAACAAATCTGTCTGCCTTGGCTTCCAGCAACTTGAGATCGCCTTTTCATCTCTTTCCCGCCCCAGATATTTTCACTGATATTCTCTAACAAGGCTGCCCTCCCAACCCCTCCCCCATGTAATTCATTCAATTTAAGTACTTATGGAGCACCAATCTATGGAGATAAAGTGGCACGCCCGCGGGCAATAGCCAGTAGCTGTTAGAGGCAGGATTTGGACTCTTGGTCTTCCTGGCTAAGAAGTCACCTCTTTATCCACGACGCCCACTAACTACAAGAGAAAGAGAACGTACTTTCAAAATCCTTCCCTCTTTAACTTTTATATTCTAGATTAGGGTGTTAAAGGTAAGTAAGTAATGCTTTCTGAATTGAATTAGAAAAACAATTAGATAAATTTGATAGCCAATTTTGGACTGGAATTCTTTTTCCTCTGGTGCGGTTGCAAAAGGAAGAGTGGAAGATTTTCTGCCCCAAGCCAGGAACATTAAAGAAAAGGGCTTGTGTGTATTTAATTAAAGACTAAGATTTCCTGTCTACAGTGATTTAATTATTTGCATAATTTTTTTATTCAGTTTTTCTCTTTATTTGGTCCACATATAGATATATAGCTATAGTGCTAACAAACAAAATGATATTCCTTGAGTTGGTTGCTAATTCTCATGAAGCCACGGGCAAAAAAGCCGTAGATTTTTGCACCTGGGGACATTGACTTTGTTGAATAAAATTGTTGTTTCAAACTGTTACAAACTTTGTCATTGAGTTCATTAGCAAGTGAAGCCCTTGTCTTGCTGAATAAGTAATACCTGGAATGCTTTCAATGGGTTATTTGCAAATGAAGAAGGAAGCAATTGAAGGAAGCACTCACCCTTGTTCAAACGTGGTGAAGATTACCCAAAGACCTTAACTTTCTTTCCTGATTTCCTTCCGTTCGCCCCCGTTTTAGCATTTTTCATTGCATTTTACTTAAATGAAAGCTTTGGAAGGAGGTGAGGGGAAATTGGTAGGACTGGAAGAAGAGCACCTCAGATATGAGATTAGCTTTATTTAGCAATCCCAGAAAATGAACAGTTGTTGAATGTAAGCAAATTCTTATCAGCTAGCATTTATGAAGCATGAGGTGTTTTTAAAAAGTAATGGTATTTTAGTTTTTCCAATCACATGTAAAGATAATTTTTAACATTCATTTAAAAAAATTTTGAGTTCCAATTTTTTCTCCCCCTTTCTCTTTCCCTAAAACAGTAAGCAATTTGATATTGATTAGATATGTGCAACAATGTAAAACCAATTTCCCCAATAGTCATATTGTGAAAGAAGGAATAGACCAAAAGAAAAAAAAATCCAAGAAAAAAATTAAGTGAAAATAGTATGTTTTAATCTACATTTAGACTCCATCAATTCTTTCTCTGGATGTGGATACCATTTTCATTAGTCCTTTGAAATGGTCTTAGATCATTGTATTACTGAGAAGAGCTAATTCATTCATAGTTTATCATCTCACAATGTTCCTGTTACTGTGTATAATATAATGTTCTGCTCACTTCACTTTGCATGAGTTCATGTAAGTCTAGGTTTTCTGAATCCACCTGCTCATCATTTCTGATAACACAACAATATTCCATTACATTCATATGCCACAACTTGTTCTGCCATTCCCCAATTGATAGGCATCCCCTCAACTTCTAATTCTTTACCTACACAAAAGAGCTACTATAAATATTTTTGTACATGTGGGTCCTGTCTTTTTTTTAAAATTTCATTTTATTCTGAATCTAAGAAATAAAACAAGCATTTCCATAACATAATAGAACAGGGAAAAAAAAGATGATTGCATATGGAACTGCAAATCTGTCATGTACAACTTACTGTTCCTTTTAAATATATAATAAAGTTACGTAAATTTTTCCCCCTTTTTTTCCTCCCTTTTTGTTTTGAGAAACATACATTTTGCTGGAAGTCTATAACTAGTCATCAAACTGAGTAAATTTTAGTTAGTAATTTAGTTATGTATTTATAAATAACAAATAAATGCCCTTTGTTATACAAGGAGGAAATTCTATTAAACATTTAAAATACAGAATATTGGCAATTGCAAAATTTTCGATCATATAATTTAAAAGGCACCTCTGTGGGTATGGAATTAATTTCATAGGAAAAGCAGAATATATAAAAAGTTGATGATATTAAATGTAATTAAAAACCCTTACTGTGCAAGAAAAATTATAAAAGATATTTACTCCATCTAGTTTGTAATTTCGATTCTACAGGCTTTTCCTTTCCCTTTATTGAAAGTACTTGATATAAATGATGAACTACATAAAAAAATACCTTCCAGCTTAGCAAACCATCAACCATATGTATTAAAAAGGCTAGTCCTTGACATTTGAAAACCCCAAACAAATAACAATATGCTATTGGGACAGATGCACATAGATTTCATACAAATATATAATTTTGAAGCTAGGAAAAAACCTAAAGATTATCTAGTCAACGCTTCTCATTTTATATTTCCAGAAATTAAGGCCTAGAAAGGTTACAAGGACTTATTCAAGCTGAAGAAAAAGTCAATGCCTCAAATTATTCAGCCAGTTAGCAGCAGAAATGATACTCGAACCCTGGTCTTTTACTCTTATACTTTCCCCAGTATAATATTATTTTGTATTCATATAGCATTTTTTGCTTTGTGAAGTGTTTTATATGTATTGCACCCTATTATAAAAATCACTTTGTTTCAAGTCTAGGGGCAATATAATAGCTCCTCAGGTCTACATAGTTTCCTTCTCTTATACTTTATGGAGTTTATATTAAATAAAAAGTTAGTATAATCATAATTACTTTGAGCTCCATTAGGAAAATTCCGAACAATTAGGCAGATATTTGGCTCTCTGCTTTAATTACATTTCTATTTATCTTTAGTTAACCTCTGGCCTCTTCACGGTTGAGACAAAATTCAAATTACTGGAAACTTTTAAGTAAAGAAGAAAAGAGTATGTTATAGTATCTGTTAATAGACAGGCACCAGAAGGGGAAGTTGTGGAAAAAGCAAATCTTTACTTGGAACTTGGATCAGTCCTTTAGAAGGTGATTATTACTGGTGGTATCAGTCTGAGTTTGATCAGAGGTGCTGCTAGGGCTAATGACCCTTCCTGATATCTCTCTTCTCTAACAGTTCAGTCCTGCTTTCTCTTCCTGGTTGCCCAGTGTTGCTAATTCTTTTTGACTCAGCTCTCTGTATGTCCTTACTAATATTTTAATTACCAAGTCTAACGACATTTTCTCAATCCTCATTCTTCTCTACCTCTCTGAAGCTTTTAACACATTGTTCTTGAGTGGTTTCAGTCATGCCCAACTCTTCATGACCCCATTTTGAGGTTTTCTTGGCAAAAATACTGGAGTGGTTTGCCATTTCCTTCTCCAGCTCATTTTATGGATGAAGAACTGAAGTAAACAGGGTTAAGTGATTTGCCCAGGGTGTCACAGTGAGTAAGTGTCTAAAGCCAGATTTGAACTCAGGAAAATGAGTCTTCTTGATACTGACCACAATTGGTACTTCACGGCACTTTCTTGTTTATCCTGTCTGTCTGTTCTTTCTTCAGTTTCTTTTGGTGGGTCTTCATC